GGCACACAGTAGGATTTAAGAACTGTGCACCCATGAGATCAGCTCTCACTATCACAGTTACCCTCCCCTGGGTGTCCTCACTCCTTTTATCAGCAGATTTATTGATGCTGTCTAAGATGTAGTTTATCGATAGCATTGGAAACATAATTTGAAAACCTGAAATACAGTTAATTACCTAGGTAATTCTTCTGTTGCCAAGCAACCACATAGACTATTTGCTCCGAGCCACTTACTTGCCTGAGGTAACTCTGTCCATATACTGATCCCCACAAAATGCAGGTGAAAAGAAATCAACTGATGCAATCAATATTTTGGCTTTGTACATTCATGAGGACACCACTGATTTCTGTCTTCAGGAAGTAGTGCTGCTGACCACTGTGGTTTGGTGTGAGAGTCGGAGTTGCTAAACTTGGTGGCACATTTGAGTCATGGAGAACTTTTTAAAAAAACCAGTCAGCCAACCAACCAACCAACCAGCCAGCCAACCAACCAACCATCCATCCATCCAGCCAGCAAACCAAGCAAGCAACCAACCAACCAATCAGCCAGCCAGCCAACCAACCAACCAACCAATCAACCAACCAGCTAACCAACCAACCAATCAACCAACCTACATGTCTTGCCTTCAACTCAAGAAAATCTTTTCCCATGAGCCTGGAATGTTTTTCTTTTTGGATAGAGTCTCATGTAACCCAGACAGGCAGACTCCCAACTTCCTACATTGCTGAGGATGACCCTAAACTTTTGATCCTCCTGCCTCTGCCTCTAGAATACTAGAAGTATTTGAGCCAAGTCCGGCTCAGTGATGCTTAGAGATGGGACTCAGGGCTTCCTGTGAGTTCACAACTGAGACACCTCCTAGCTTGAGGATTTGCTTTTGAATAAGATGACCAGGGATTCCAAAGTCTGGTCATGGTTAGAAACTACAGATCTGGACTTTCTGACTTGCTTACTAAGTCTATGGTGCAACCATTCTGAACTTCAGAATATGGGGCAAGATCTAGAAAATTCCTGTAAATAGCTTTGCTTGAAACAAATTTGCTTCCCTTCTGCCTAAAATGTACATTTGTGAGTACTCAGAACAACAACAACAACAAAAAAAAACATGATTTCCCCAATCATGAGGCGCTTTCTGATAGGATCCACTTCACACGGTACACAGAAACACGGTCACCTGATGTGTCCTGAGCTCGGAATCCTTCCTGGCACCAGAAAAATTATGTTTAAGATTTTAATCTTTCTGTATATGACAATGTTTCTGTAATGGATTCTATGCATCTAAAATAGTGACAGGTCTGAAAATTGTAGATTTGTTAACAACTGGTTAAATAGTCAGAGTCAGCATGCAATTCTTCATTTTCTTAGTCTAGGCTGAATGGAACTTTCTACCAATCTTGAGGTAGGAAAGATAAATGTTACATTTTATAAGCAAGGGTTATCTTTTCTTCCATAACGAGACTTCCCTTATTGAAAACATTATACATCCAACATAAAAATGTGATGTTGAATTCAAAGAAGAAAAATGAAACAATGCTAGGAAATTTGAGAAATAACTTGAAAAATTTTAACACTGTACTGTACTTAGTACTTTTAGCATTTTGAAAATGAAGGTATTAAGTCTGAGAAAAAGCTAGAGAAAATACATTTTGAAGGTAAGTGTGTGTATGTGTGTGTGTGCAAGCATGTGTCAAATGTGTGTGTATACAAGCATGTGTCAAGTGTGTGCATGTGCAAGCATGTGTCAAGTGTGTGTGTGTGTGTGCAAGCATGTGTCAGGGTGTGGCCATGGAGGTCAGAGGACAATTCTAGCTATAGTTCTTGCTTTCCACCTTGTCTAGGCATTGGGTCTCTTGATCCTGCTGTGCTGTGTATTCCAAGATAGCTGTACTCTGAGTTCCATCCAGTTCTCCTGCCCCTACCTCCCATCTTGCATGGGAATGCTGGGATTATAGGTATGCACTACATCAGACTTTTTATGTGGGCTTTGGGGAGAAAACTCAAGCCATTAGGATTACATAGCTAGGCTGGTAGGTACCTTTCCCTGATGAACCATTTCTTGGGTCCAGAAATTAAATGGAAATGAGTTATTAAAATGATGTGTTGATGCTCTTAAGAGTTAAATTTAAAAGATTATTCATATCTATAGAATTATCACATAAGCCAGGTAATAAATGCCAGTTACATAAATGACATCATTTAAACTTTGCAATAGTTCTACATGAAAATATTAATACCAGGACTATTATTCAGAAGGGACCTAAGAGATCACCATAGAATCAACAGAATGACAAGAATTAATACAAACCTTTCAATAATAATTCTCAATATTAAAGGTCTTAATTCTCTAATGAAAAGACTCCGGCCCACAGATTTCCATGTTTTTGATGCCTCCAGGACATACACCTCACCACCAAGGATGGTCACCATGTTAGGGCAAAAGGCTAGATAGCAGGATTCTAAGCAAAAAGGAACTGAGACGTGAACAGGCAATGCTATTCTAATATCTGTGAAATTGCCCTGAAGCCCAAAACAGAAGAAGCAAATGTTATCACGTGGTGTTCAACAACAGAACACTCTAAGAGGACATTAAAATTATAGACACACACACTCACCAACCATGATTCACACAGTTTCACAGGACAGACAATCTGTGTCTAAAACCACAGACTAACACCAGCACAGTGATGGGGGGGGGTGACTTCAGTACCCCACTGTCACCAACAAATAGATAACCCAAAAAAAACCCCCAAAGAAATATTGGAGTTAAATGATATCCTGAATCAAATAAATAAATCTAAATTTAATAAATCCACTAAATCAAAGAAACCTACTGAACATTCTATCTCAACAAAACTGTTCAGAGTTTCTTATACCAGAAAGATTTTACACACTTTTAACAGTAGACCTTTACATATCTATAAGAGTGCATAGCATAAGCTTGGCGGTGGTGGCGCACGCCTTTAATCCCAGCACTCAGAAGGGGGATCTCTGTGAGTTTGTGAGTTCAAGGCCAGCCTGGTCTACAAGAGCTAGTTCCAGGACAGGTTCCAAAGCAAAAAAGAGTGCATAGCATGGCTTTGTTTTTAATTGTGGAAAAGTTTTGTTTTGTTTTTTAACTAAAGTCTACTTAGAAAAATTCCATAGTATCTATTAATAATTAGTTGTTCTACAAAGTCATCAGGTGTTACATGCATATATTATCAATTAAATTTTTCTTTGAGATTTCATAAACGTATATGAGTTCTGGGCATTCCCACCTGTCTCGCTCCCTCTCTTGACTCCCCGCACTGCTGTTCTCTTTTTCCCCCACACCCACTTCTTGTTTTGCTTTGTGACCCAAGGTCCCGACGCTCCCAGTTCACTCAGGAGATCTTGTCTTTTTCTTCTTCCCATGTAGATTAGATCCATGTGTGCCTCTCTTAGAGGCCCAGAGGAGCTATTTTTAACAGTGTGCTGGGCTGAGCCATGGTTGAACTTAGGCGAATGGTGTTTGTTTCAATTTCAGTTTAAGAGTAGGGAAGATCAGGGGCGCAGGGCTCCTTGGAGTGCACGCATGGCATATGTAACACTAGGGGTTCTATTCTAGTACCCCAGAGAGCTTAAAATCAGGCTACGTAGCCTAGTAGTAGATGGTAGTTTCTTATATAGTGTGTGCATATCCCCAAGTTCTGTCTCTAGTACTGAAAAAAAAAAAGAATAAAATATTTTCAAAGTGAATTTTAGTCCTATAATCAGTTTTAAGTTTTACTTAACCACTTGTGGTCTATGTTAAAAGATAATTTCAGTCTCTCTCCCGCCCCCCCCCCCCCCCGTGTGTGTATGTTTGTGTGTGTGTTGTGTATGTGAGGAAGAGGGGGTTGTATGCTTGCACACACAGAAGCCAGAGTCAGCGGAAGGTATCTTTCTCTATCCTTCCCCATCTTATTATCTGAGACAGTCTTTCTCCGAGCCCAGAGCTCACAGATTGAGATAGAAAAGCAGGTTAGCAAGGCTCGGGGATCATCCCGTCTTCGTCTTCCCCTCTCTGAGATTATGGTTCATGCTTTCACATTCGGGTTTCTTACACGGTTGTAGAGGATTTGACTTCAGGCCCTCACGTGAGGATGAAAAGTACTCCACCCACTGATCTGTCCAGCTTTTTATTAACCTCTGTAGTGTCTATTTGGTCAAGATTTTACCCAAGGATTATACTTATATCAAAATTTAATAATGTATTAAATCGCCAAAGCAATTTGGCATTGACTAAATGGCCTAACGAAGGCACACTGAGCAGAGAGGCAACCTCCAGCCATTATCACCAGTCACCATGATAAGCTCATAGTTAGAACAGGACATTACCTTTCCACCTCCCTTGATGCCATACAGTAAGAAACCCTCTAGACCAAAGAGCTGACCACATGACTCCTGGGAGAAGGATGCCCAGAGTGGTTATAATCTCTGACTTGCCTTGGACATATAGGTATGAGTGCAAAGACAGTGTTTTTAGAATTCTGAATTCCAAAAATGCACTGCTTTGGTAGAGAGTCAGACAGATGTTAAGTATCTACATATTTATATAAGTAGGCATGCATGCATGTACACACATGTAGAAATACATATTATGATAGTTTGATGAGAAATGTCCCCAAAGGCTCAAGTATTTGAATGCTTGATCCCCAGATAGCATTGCTGTTTGGGAAATTTATGGAACTTAAGCAGTTGGAGCCTTGCTAGAGGAAGTATGTCACTGGGGGTGGGCTTTGAGGGTTTATAGCCATATCCCACTTTCGGTTCACTCTCTGTGCTCTCTCGGCTTCCTGCTGTCATGTATCCCCCAACATCATGGATTCTCCTTTTGAAACCTTAATCCAAATAAATTTTTTAAAACCACATTCATCCTTATCTCCAGCAGCCAGTTTCCACTAAACTATGAGAGAGAGAGGGAGGGAGGAAGGGAGGGAAATAGATGGCGGGGGTTGGGGAGACAGAGGGAGGGAGGAGCTATCCCATTTTTTCTTTACCTGGGGCTGGCCATGCCACAGATATGGAATCAGAGCCCAGCACGGTGACATTATATGGGGGATGGACATCTTCTGGGTCCACATAAGCATCTGGATGATGAAATCCTTGCTCACACTGCTGCCACCTCCAGTTTTTGTTTCTAACTTGTAAATGTACCTGAAGAAATGAAAGTTATAACAAGCCGATTTTGAGACTCTGTGACAATGTTTGCTGGCTTCTAACCTGCTGTTTTTCCCTGAGTTTGTGACACTTTTTGGATCTCTTCTATGAGAAACGCTACTGTGAGTTTGGTCGTTGTGTCTAGCATAGAGCGCGCTCCTTTCTAGAGCGCCATTACTGCTGCCTCCCAACTCCATGCTGAACCCCGTCGTCACTCATGGCTTTTCCTGAGAATTTCAGGAACATCTTGGGGTGTGCTACTGGGCTGTGAAAATTCAATTTAGTCTTTTTCTATTTCTAAATGGGTTGAATTTTCAGGGAGATTCATTTAGAGGCAGAGATATTTAAATTGATCTGTTATTTTCCACAATAAAACTAAATTATTCTCTATTCTCTGCACTGAAACATCTGTTGACGTAAGGTTTATCTCGTGTCTGCTGAGAAATGAATGGGAATGAATTGCAAATGGTTCAGATGACTCCTGTAGACAGAGCAGAGCGAGTGGAGGGGAGGTAAGAAGTGGTAGGTGATGGGAACACCATTCTCCCAGTCTCTTTAGCTGCTAACTTTGGAATGTAGGTTTTAAACACCATTTGATAAGTTTTGAAGTTGGACATTGTATTTTGTATAATTAAATTTCTCATGCTTTCACATCAAATGGAGGACAAACTATTTGATTTCCTGTAGGCCCAAAGCAACCACCCAGCACTCTCATTTGCTACAGCATGGCTGATGAACAAAGAGATGAGTTCGATAATTGAGTAACATTTTAACAGGAGGTGTTCTTTCTCGGCCTTGAGCAACTTAGAAAGCTTACAGTGTGATTGGCGAAGTTTTCCTTGTGCCGTCTGCTGTTGGGTTCCAGGTTTTTATCAGGGAATTCTGTTCATCACTGCCACCCACGAGAAGCAAGCTTCCATTACGCCTCAGCTGATTTTGAGAAATGAGGCCGTTGGGCTTTTCTGGAGGATTCCAATGTAATTCCATGGTGGGAGAATTGATGATAATGTGTTGAGGTGTCACCCGAACTCCTGGCAAAAATGACACAATGAAGTTTTATTGTGAGGATAAAATACATGCCTCGTGAAATGGCGCAGCTCCCTCCACGAGCCAGCTAGCCCTTATCTGTGGGTTAAAGCGATCTCATTGTGGAAGAAACAAGCATGCCTTTCCTGTACTTTGGGGGAGAAACAAGTCACCAAGCACGGATTTGCTCTTCCTCTGGCTTTACATTTGAATGTCACACCACTGGCTGTGGGACGTTTCTGTGGCTCGGGCATCGCTCTGGCTGTAATTCAATGAAGAGTGGAAGAAGAAATGTGGGCATTTGAAACCCTGGTGCTCTTTGGGTTATGTGGAAAGAAGCACAATCGGGTATTTATCGGAATTATACCGGTCAGTGAGTTAGAATGTCTTCTTCCCTCTTGTACTGCTGGCTACGCATGTCCGTTTTCTCTGGAATACTCTCTGGCCCCACTTCCCAGGTTTCCAAGATTCTTCAACTGTCTCTGTAAACACTGGAGTGTCTCAGAGTCCCAGACTCTCTCTTCACTTTGGCATTCTCTCCCCCCCTCCCCACATCCTCCTCTCTCTCTGTCCCCCTTCCTCCCAAACTTTCTTGATGATCTCTCTTGCTCGCCTTTGCTGAGGGCTCCCCAAGGCACACTTGACACCAATTCTCCCGTGGGCTTCAGACTTCTGACCCCAACTGTTTAGGTGACATTGTCATTTAGATACTTACTTAGAAATCAAAGGCTCAAAGCATCAACATTGGAACTCTTAATTTTCCTTCTACAGTTGATAGAGCTCCAAGCCTGTCCACTGACTAGTTTTCTCAGGAAAACACACAAAGATGATGTTCTCAAGGTACTCCCCGCCCCTGTACTCCTGTCGCTGAGCTCTGCAGACCCTACAAAGCTACAAAGCTCCGGTCTTCACAGCTGTCACTCTGGCCTTTCCTACATGTCTGTACTAGCATCTTGTCTTTTGCAGTTCTGGGGACTAAGCCCAGGGTCGGTGATGCAGGGCAACTGCCCTACTATGCAGCTGCACCCCCAGCTACACCTCAACTTTAAAGCTTGTCTCTGTGTTTTGGATTCACTATGTAGCTAGAGACCAGCCTTGAACTCCTCCTCCCTAGTGCTGGATTACAGGTGTGTGCTGCTGCTTTGGAGCTGTCTCTGCTGTAAGTCTTGGCTTTCTCAATGCCCTTGGAATTCTCTCAGCACTCTCTGACTATTTTATATATATTAGGAAATACACAACTAGTATTTTTTATACCATCCCCTCCCTATCATGGCCTCTGTGGTCCCTATTTCTTGTCATGGTCTCTACTTCTCTACCCCTAGCCCCCTTAGACCACAGTTGTCCTGAGTTATGGTCTTCTGCCCACACCCTTTTCTGATGCTTCAGGCTTGGTTCTTCCTGTCACTAGGGTTTACATTTGCCCTGGGTACGTCTGCTTTAGACATCCTAGGCTGTGCGTTTTATTAGCTCAGTCCTCTCTATTGATTCCTTCATCCATGCAGCTTGCTTGAAGTTTACTGTCTTATTCTAGCCTCTAGTCAGGGGGTCCTGACTCAGTTTCCAGCACACACCCCCTTCTAGTTCCCTCACATCCTTATGATATCATCATCATCGTTTTCTTTGATGTGCTACTTTCTTACTTTGTTACGACTGATTGGTCCACCCACCCCTTTGCCTGCTTTAAAGAAAATTATTTCCACAGAGGCAGGGATCTTCAGTCTTACTTCCCAACATGTATCTGTGAATAGCAAACTAATATGGGCAACATATCTCCTGACAATGTTACATTAGATAGTCTGGACAGTTATGGAAAGCAGAGTTGGCTAGACTCATTGTTTCGCAGAGTTGAGTCTTCACCATAAAGGTTAAAATATATACAGAAATAGTCACAGTTCAAGGTCTGTCCTTAATTATTCTTTAAAAAATAATGTTTTTAGATTTACTTTTTATTTTACATGAGTGTTCACTTGCATACATGCATGTGTATCATATATACAGTACCCAAAGAGGGCAGGGGAAGGCACTGGCTCCCCTGGAAGTAGAGATACAGGTGACCGTGAGCCACCATGTAGATGCTGGGAACCGAACTCAGATCCTCTTTGCAAAAAGCAGCAAGTGCTCTTAACCACTGAGCCATCTCTCTGCCCCCTCAGCACTCACAGATGCGGATGGAGAATCTGACGGTGAAACAGAGAGTCTGCTGGAGGTGACTGTGCCCTGAGCAGACCTCACACCGTCTCTAAGGGGCTCTAACACCACCCATTCAATTAGGCTCCCAGCAATCAATAGCTTCTGGCTGAGAATGTCTCCCAAGCAAGTGACTCAGTAAAAAGTAAGTTTCTGGCATTTTTAGAAGAGAAAAAATTGTTCAGGACATTCAAACACAATTTCTTCAGCAGCACACTGAAGAAAGGAAACAGTCTGATGGATTTCAAAGGCCTCACGCACACCGGCATTCAAAGAGCAACTGATTTCTGAGAAGAAAGCTGCCTGTCTTGTTCTCCCTCAATGCTGGATAGAGCGCACGCTGAGGCCTAGGTTTCTCTGCCAACAGCTTCAAACAATTCAGAGTTCAGGCTTCAACGGCACATGAGCTTGTAGATTCAGGCAATGAATCACCAAGGTTTAATCTGATTCTCTGTAGCTCATCTTTCTGTCCTTGAAGGATATATTAGAAATCACCAAGGAACGGCTGAGGTGATGGACAGTGGGCAGGACACTGCCATTCAAGTGTGAGGACCAGAGTCTGAATCCCCAGCACCCGCATAAAGACTGATGGAGCAGCCTCCCTGCAATCTTATTTTCAGCGCTATCATAAGAGATCCTTAGAGAAAGCTAGCGGACTACGGGAAGCAAATCTGCAAGCTCTGGGTTCAAGTGAGAGACACTCACTGGACCTGTGGGGTGGAGAGTGACTGCTATGATATCTGATGCCAGCGTCTGGCCTCTCCATATATGCATACGTTCATGTGTTCACATGCATGTGTGTATGCTCACACACACAAACACATATGCACATGTGCACACATACACAAATGCTGTGCACTTATACACAGACAAAAAATGCCAAAACATGGAAAAAAGCCATAGCTTAGTTTCCAGTATGTACTCTCAAAGCAGCCTATGCAGAAGGAGGTCTTAATGAAACAAAGGGGATCCGAATTGTGGAGTTGTTTCATGTTTTCAACTAAAGTCTTTTTTTTTTTTCACATGTTCAGCTCCATGGAAGCTGGTAACTACCACATGGCCACAGATTTAATTGGGAAGACACAGTTTCAGTGTGTAAATAGCGGATAGTGAATGCTATATATTTACCTGCAGGATGGGTTTGGGCTGTTATTACCTTAACAATTTCGAGACATAGTTGATAGAGTTAAGACCCACTTGAGGGAGTGCCAGCTATGAATTTGCCCCCCTTCTTCTGCTACTCTCCAATTGCAGCGATAGCACCAGAAAACAGATCCTATTCTGTGTAATAGAGGGCAGATCTGAGACAATCCCAGGGAGAAATGGACGGAAGGAAGAGAACCGACCCCTAATACCAGGCTAGGGCTCACTAGGTAGGAAGTACGGGGACCAAAATAAGAAAGTAGATTTTAGTAGCTGTTTTTACACACTGACTACCAGAGATGTTGCTTCTGGATTTGTTTTAAATTGGTCTTGAGTTTTGTGTATTAATACCCATTCTAAAGTTCCTGCAAATGCCCGTTAACTAAAATTTCCAATTTTTATTGTGAATTGGCTTCTTGAAATCTGTTGGTGAAAGCCAGTTCTGTGTGAGTTCATCACGTTAAGGATGCACAGGTCTCTGCATAGTTAAAGACTACTGGCTGGTTTACTCAGACGTCTACATCCCTTTCCCTGTTAGGTACTGGGATGTGGGGATAAAAGGCATCCTCCTTACTTTTCCAGTTTATCACGCCATGGTAAATGCAGACTTGTAAGTACAAATACTATGATGAGGGATGGTTGGTGCTTAGAGAGAAGTGTGGGGGCAGGGAAAGCACTTAGGAAAGGAGTCTCGGTACAGATTGTGGGGTGAGATCAGGAGAGGTAGGAAGGAGGTAGTTCTAGGGGGACATTCCTGTAAGAGGAGCCGTGTGAGCCCTGGTGGATGACATGGGGCAGCATGTGAAGTCTGATGAAATCTACATGGAGTCTCACAGAAATGGAAAAGCATTTGGGGTGATGAAATATGACTCCCCATTTCCATAGCATGTGGTCAAGACCACCATTGAGCAGAGGGAAAACTCGAGGCATCTGTTTGCTATAGAAGCATGATAAGGATTTGCTTCCCTGGAAGTAAATTCGATTTTAGCGAGCTGGATTAACAGGAGAGATGCCCCCTTTGACATGGGGGAAGAATCATGAGAGGACATGAGAAGACTGAGCACCCCTTATTGGAGAGGACCCTTGTTAGGAGGAGCCAGAGAAGTTAGAAGGATGCAAACAAAGGCAGGGGCAGAGGGATGGAAAATAAGAATGAAATAAAAAATTAAGATTTGCAGTCAGCACGATTTATGAAGAGTGACGTGTTGTGTATGAAGAAGATGGACATTTAAGAGCAGCAGTGGAGGGCTGAGGTGATGGGCATTGGTGGTACTTAAGAGAAGAAAACAGGAAGAAGGGCAAGGCGGGGAGGGTGAGAAGTGGGGTGAGAGAGAACCGAGCACTGAAGACGGAAGGTCTCACAGTACCGAAGATGCACAGACCTCTTGCCCATGAGGGCATCCCAGTGAGCGGGCTTAGGCTTGGCAGCTCTCAGTCTTTATAAGAAGGCAAAGCCAGTACCCAAGATCTAGACTATGTGTACTGAGTACAGGAAGGGTCCAGAGGGGCCTCAGGAAGCCAGGGGCGGGAAAGAGGAATCGGATGAGCCCAAGGCAGACTGGGTCTACTTTGTCTTTTCTTTCCCCGGTGTCGATGCTACAGGAAAGCTGGGCTACGGTTTTGCCTGAGTTCACTCTAAGATGAGTTGACCTTACTGGGCAACAGGAAAATAAGGTAATAACCCAACCCGGGTTCTTCCCACTACTGGCTAAGGAGCCACAATTTCCGCGAGGATAAGACTGTAGAGAAGTGTGTTCAGTCTTCCGGAGGCCATCCTGTGCTCTAACACTTTATGTTTAGATGGAAACAAGAACAGGAGGAAAAGAACACAGGTTTCTTTTAATTTTTCCCATGTGCACTCATTACTCTCAAATCGTAGACTTTCAAACTGTGTCTGACTTACTATAAAAGTGGCATTTCATAACCAAATGTCCTGGGGTTAGTAATTTAAAACTTTACTTTCATTATTTTAAATTATGAATGTGTATATGTGTATGTTCATGCGTGTGCATGTGTGCATGCAGGCTCTTTTGGAGGCCAGAGATATCAGATCCCTGGAGCTGGAGTTACAAATGACTGTGAGCAGCCTCAGGTGTGTGCTGGGAACTGAACTCAGTTCTGTTTTGGAAGAGCAGTAAATGCGCTTAAACACTAAGTCATCTCTCCAGCCCAAGTTAGTAAATGAAAAAGGTTAATGTCATTGATGACCGACCCCTTTGTAGCCCCTAAACACTGGGATGGTATTGGTTCCCTGCAGAGGTTACCCAGGAATGCGCATACACAGCCAGAGACTGGATCTGAAACTTTGTTGCTTCCCAGAGGGAAACCTTTTTTCTTTGCACAGTTGTTTCTGGGGACGGAATAATGCAGAATGTTAAGAAGCATACTGAGGACATTTCTTACAGCCTAGCCCCCCCTGTACCATCTAAAGTCATAATTTTCAAGGCATAAGATCTAGACCCTTTCAAAAACTTTATAAGGGGAAGTGGAGAAATAGATTTAAAAAGTAACTGAAGCATGAGTTTGGTGAATAATCCAATACCAGAGATCCCCCACTCTATCAGGCTTGAGTTTTAGCCAAAGCGGGTTGGTAGCACCGTGGCGATCACCCATTATCATCAGAGTATCCATTTGATGGTTGACCTTTCCAAAAAATCCACTGCTGCTTTCCTCCCTTCCTAGGAACACCAAGCTCTCTGACATGAAGCATTCTTTATATAGAGAGGATCATTAGTGAACTCCTAGAGAGGAGCCATATGCCCCATATGTGGAATTTTCCATTTTATTCCCCATTTACTGGTAGGAAGTTTAGGTCTAATGTTCCAAGGTACAACAGTCCTTTCAACAGAAAAGTAATGAACAAGTGGTTTGGGACCCTGTCATGGCAACGGACACCGTGGTCCTCCTTAGATGCTTCTTTATGTATGTTTTGATTTCTCCATCTCTAAAACAGGCCAATAATAAAGATTAACGGATAGGAGATCCCTAGCACAGGCTACTGAGCATATTCTCTTCCATAAAGCAAACGGCATCACACACCCCAGGTCCCAATCCACAGCGGCTCATTGTCGTCACAGGGACGGTAATTCCAGGTTTTTCCCTAATGTGTATTGTATATTTATTAATCACTAGCAATGAGTGGAGTCATCTGCAACCATTTTTACACACAAAGCGATTACCATTGCTCTCCAACATCTCCATATAAACATATCACCTGATTTCCACAATGTGTTTTTATTTAGCAATTCTCCTCCCCAACAATATTTGAATTGCTCTCCACATTTTGGCATGAGGTAAAATGATGCTTCCACGGCATCCTGACACAGGGCCCCTTCTGTGCATGCGGATGAGCTCCAGGCATAAATAATGAAAACTTAACTGCTGTGTTAAGAAATTAAGATTTTGAATTTAACAGACAATACCAATCTGTCTTCTAAAGAGGGGGGGTGGGATCTCTCTGGTGGCATGTCTCTCCCATTGTGTGTGTGTGTCTGTGTGTGAGCGAGTGCATGCAGACATGCATGTGTAAAATCTCAGTTTCTGGGGCTCAACTGCAGCCTATCTGCATCATAAAATCCTTCTCTATGTCTGTGGTAGGTTTTCATCTCTCCCTCAGATTATAATCTTTGCATACACACCTAGTAATTCTGTTACTATCATTCTTGTTTGGTTTTACTTCCTTGACGGCAGAGACTGTTTTTGTCCACCTTAGCAGTGGGTTTGTTATTTGTTCACTACTAAAGGGTCTATTGCTTGAGATTTTGAGGAGCTTAATAGCCAAGCATTCATTTTCCCCATAAAAAGCAAATCTCAAGTCTTTAAGAATTTCAAGAACTTTACTGTGAGTGGCAGCCTATGGTTTACTGAAGCCTGTAGGAGGGGACATGGGATATTATTTTGGTTTAGCTTATCAGTTTTATTCCTCCTGCCTTGTTTGCTACAGAAGAGCTTATACAGTTAATTAAAACAGCACATACAACGTTTTCTCTGAACCACAGATCCATCCTGGTTACCTTGAGGGGCAGCCTGCAGGGTCTGACCTACAGAGGGCTCACTGGAGGTGCATCCGGCAGACGTACAAGCTGCGAGGGTGAAGCTGTAGTTGGTGTGTGGTTGGAGACCTAAGAAGAGCCAACAGAAAATAAAGCACAGCTTGAGAGGGGTATTCATTAACAATTAAGCAACGGAAGTTGCATGCAGAGTTGTAGATGTTCCCTGCACACATCCAGACTCCTTTTCAGAGTACAGGTTCCTGCTCCCAGGGTGGGAACCCACAGCTTCACACAGGCCAGGAGGGAACCCACAGCCCCACACAGGCCAGACAGAAACCCACAGCCCCACACAGGCAGGAACCCACAGCCCCTGCACAGGCCAGAGAGGAACCCAGAGCCCCTCACAGGGCAGAACCCACAGCTCCACACAGGCCAGACAGGAACTCACAGGCCCACACAGGCCAGACAGGAACCCACAGCCCCACCCAGGACAGAACTACAGTCCCACCCAGGCAGGAACCCACAGCCCCTGCACAGGCCAGAGAGGAAACCAGAGCCCCTCACAGAGCAGAACCCACAGCCCCACACAGGCCAGGCGGGAACCCACAGCCCCACCCAGGACAGAACCCACAGCCCCACACAGGCCAGGCGGGAACCCAGAGCCCCACACAATCAATTCCTCCTTCTCAGATCCCCATACATGATGCCATTTAAAACTGTTCCACTTTTTGGCACCAGAACATTCCACATCCAGAATAGCCCATTCCATCTTGAAGAACACCAGGGTTCCTCCTCGTTTTGTTTGAAAGTCCTTCCTTATATCATAGTGAGCCATTCCTGTCGCTTCCACCCTTGGGGACCCGTAGAACCAATCCAATTTCCTTTCCATATTGCTTGTTCGTTAAATATTTGTAGACAGTTATCAAATCGCAGAGTGTTTTCTTCTCAAGACTAACCACCCTAGCTCCCGCGACTGCCCCTCAAGAGAAGAGAGACAGAGAACACTTTACAGGAAGGTTAGATGCATCATTGTCTAGGCTCAAGCCATATTCCGTTCTTATAAACAACCAGCTACAACTTTTAGGAAAATAAAAAGCCAACCCTGCCCCCTTTTACCAGGTGTATTCATAGACCGCCATTGTTCTTTTCTGTCAGATGCCCGGCTTTTGTCTTTACGCACAGATGGAGGATATTTCAATGAGGGCAAAGCATTTATTTACTTCTTCTGCATTTATAAAAGAAAATGGCTCAGTAATTTCCTAGGAGGGCCTCAGAGGGAACAAAGAATGACTTGATCTATTTATGACAGAAGTTGTCCGTGGTTATATGTCACTGCTCTGTGGCTGATGACCTTGGCCAAGCTGCCTAGCTTCTTTTTGCCTTGGTCTACTGATCTGTAAAATGGGGAATCACTATAGCATGTAGCTTATATGAGAAGACCAAATGGGATGGCAGGTAGTGCTTTATATCAGCAGGAGTAACGTTAAGGCTCGCGGCGTTCAACAAGAGGTAGACTGACGCTTACAAGGTCTTTCCTGGATTCTCGAGGGAAGCCAATACCCAAGCATTCTCAGAAAAATAAAGAAGACCTGTGCTTTGCCAACCATCAGATCATTAAGCTAATTTACAGAACCCACTCTGTGGTATTATGCATGTTTTCCACAAGCTTCCTGCTGCATTTTGACACATTTTATGCTTTTGATGGCATGGTTCTTCCTCCAGATTTGTTCCCATGTTATCCCGTCACTTCATGTAGATTGCTTGAGGTCTACATTTTTTTTAAAAATAGATTTCAACTACTCTAAACAATACACCAGTCCCTTTTATCTCCTGAAATGATTCTCTCCTTGTACAGCCTTCTGTATCTCTGGAGCACTAGGTGTCTTTTTCTTGCCTTTTTTGCTATGGCTCAATTGCCGAAAGAGTCAGGACCCTGTTTTGCCTTTCAGTGTTTCCTGCCAACAGCGATGGCACACAGTGGTGCTAAATGAATGGAGGTGGCAGCCATGGGATTCACACAGGACTGGAGAGCCGGTTTGGGGGTCTCTGAGGAAGCAGGGACCCAAGGCACCTGGATCTGCTTGACATCCAGCTACAGGGTCTTTTCTGTTTCCTTATGGACTTAGTGATAAGATGCAAGTACTTATTTGATTCTAATCTTCCATTTGGTTGCCAGGGAGGATTTACATAATTTTCCTATTTACCTGATTTTTAGATCAGGAATACAACTAAAGATCTAAACCATTCCCAAGCCATACAGCTCTGATAGAAGCTTACAGGAAACCGCTAAGCTAATAAAACACAAGAACTTTGAGAAAACGGAAAGGGCCACCCAAGAACGGAAGCCAAAGGTCGCAATGGCAGGCTGGTCCACAGGCATTTCTGCCCACAGTGTCTATCTTGTTTTTTTTTTTTTTATTCTCCTTGGTTTTTAAACTGTTTGTTAAATAATTATGTTATTAATATAATTTGTGAGTAGTAAAGTTTTCTACATTTTTTTTTTAGATGCAAGTGAGGACACATGTAGGGCTGGAGGGAAGAATCAAAAGTTAAGAGTACCTGCTGCTGTTCTAGTTTGAGTCCTAGCATCGACGGTGAACGGCCTGCTCCAGCTCCCAGGGGATCAGATATCTCTGACATCACTGAGAACCTCCATGCACCAACACACACACACACTTAAAAATAAAACAAATCTTTTTAAAAAGTAACAAGTTATTTGTGGACAGTCTATCTTTCAAGACTATTTTTCCAGAAAATTCTCCAACAACAACAAAACATTATAACCCCATTTCCTTTTGTCCTCTTGTGTTCTGGCTCTTTGGTTTCAGGTGCTAAGGACATTTTTAGAATGGACATTAGAAGAGAAAACACGTCTTCAGAGAGGTGTGCCAAATTTGATGAGAGGAACAGGATATTTGTAACACAGAGGTTAGGAAGAAATTCCGTGGCTATGGAAAAGAAACTTTTATTTCTTGTTGATACATTAAGTCCACAAAATGGCCCTATGAATCATAATAATAATAATAATAATAATAATAATAATGTTAATAATTATTAACATTAATGGAAAAACAGGGATATTTGGGGTATTAAAATTTGACTCCAATGTCTTACCCTGGAGACACACAATTTCAAACAGATTGTTCTAGTTGTTTCTTTGTTGCTGTGATGACCAGAAGTTACTTAGGGCAGAAAGGGTTTATTATGTCTTGCAGGTTAGAGTCTACCATCAAAAGAAGCCTGAGAAAAAACGCAATCAGGAGCCTGGAGGCAGGAACTGAAGCAGAGACCATGGAGGAATGCTGCTTTCTTGCTTACTCCCTGTAGCTCACTCGGCTACCTTTCTTAGACAGCCCAGGCACAACCTGCCAGGAGTAGGCTCCACATACAGAAGTCTGAGCATTCCAATACTCCCATCAATCAACAATCAAGAAAAACTCCAGAGACCTGACCACACGCCAATCTGATGAAGGCAATTCCTCAGTTGAGAGTCCCTCCTCCTCTGTATGTCTAAGCTTGTATGCACAACATCTATGGCAGAGATCAAAGACGTAAAATGTGAGACCCCCATACTCAGAAGCTCCTAGAGAAAACCTAGGGGAGGAATTTCAGCATGTTGGTGTAGGTGATGGTGCTTTGGCTATAACCCCAAAGCAAGGAAACAAAAGCCAACAGTCGGCAGGCAGAGCCTTGTGCCTTGTTAGACTAGAAAGCTGCAGCACAGCACAGAAAGCTTTCTTTCTCCCATTTCAAGCTGTCTCTTCATGATCGTACTCTAACATAATACTCCAGCATAATGTTCCAGAATAATACTCCAGCATATTGTTCCAGCATAATACTGTAGTCAGAATGGCAATTGTAAAAAATGAGAAAGTAGTCTATAAAAAAGTCCTGTAATCTCTGGAAGGGAGCTCCTCACACCCTTACTGCATTGAGTTCCATGCCTAGGCTCGGACTGAGTTTTGGAATAAACCTTGCTTTTGCATCCAAAAGAAAGAAAGAAAGAAAGAAAGAAAGAAAGAAAGAGGTAAGCAACTCCACATCAGACAGAAGGCTGATCTCCAAAATATACAAAGAATTGAAGAAATTGGTCATCAAAAGAACAAATAATCCAATAAAAATGGGGTATAGACCTAAACAGAGAATTCTCAATAGAAGAATCTAAAATGGCTGAAAGTCACTTAAGGAAATGCTCAACATCCTTAGTCATCAAAGAAATGCCAATCAAAATGACTTTGAGATTCCATCTTACACCTGTAAGAATGGCCAAGATCAAAAACACTGATGACAACTTATGCTGGAGAGGTTGTGGGGAAAAGGGAACACTTCTGCATTGCTGGTGGGAATGTAAGCTGGTACAACCCCTTTGAATGTCAGTGTGGCGATTTCTCAGAAAATTAGGAAACAATCTTCTTCATGACTCAGTATGTGGAAGATCCATCTGTGCTTGGATATTTATTGTAGTCTTTAAAGTGGTCAAGACACAGGATCAGTTTATATGCCCATCAGTGAGAGAATGGATAAAGAAAACGTTTATCTAATACAATGGAACATTACTCAGACACAAAGAAGAATAAACCCTGGTATTTAAAACCAAAATAGATGGAACTAGAAAACATTTTGTTATGTAGAATAAGCCAGGTATAGGAATATACATACCTATGTATGTATATGCATGTTCCCTTTTGTATACGTAAATAATAAAAACAGTTTTCCTGACTCAAATGTCATTATGTGAAGTTGAAAACATAGTGGGGTGGACAAAAGAGGACAGATGTAATCAGTGCATACTCTAGGCAAGCACTGAAATATCACACTAAAAGTCATTATTACATAAAACATTACACATGAAAACAAAACAAAATAAAATAATAGTACTAAGATTTGGTACTCATAATTAGGGTCTTGTGATATTTGTAGGTTTTCAAGGTTTGTTATTTATTATTATTATTATTATTTGGGTTTTTCAAGATAGAGTTTTTCTGTCCTGCTCTGGATGTTCTGGAACTCACTCTGTAGACCAGGCTGGTCTTGAACTCACAGAGATCCATCTGCCTCTGCCTTCTGAGTCCTGGGACTAAAAACATGTACTACCATGCCCGACTTCAAGGTTTAAAGCAAAGTAACTG